AGAACTTTTAAATAGTTGATTTGATATTAACATTGATATATATATATATATATATATATATATATATATTTCAAAATTTTATGATATTTTCAAATTTATATTTTATTCAAAAATAAAATCATTTTTGATTTATTAAAAACACATAAAATCGTATTATGACATCGACATATTCAAATAATAAAATAGAACATTAAAGTCGAGATGTATCTCGCTGCATGCGCAAGTACCCTTCTATATATGTAAGTATATATCAAATGAGAAGTTCATATCATATATCTATACTATATTATAAAGTATTTGACAAAATCTCTTAAAAACTATTTTTATGCATGAAGTACTGTTTATTGATGCATATTAATTAAAATTTAAGATTACAAGTAAGTTGTGCATAACTACAACTTATTAAAGCTCAATATTTGAATTTGTGTAACTAACTGCAGATAAACATAATCAAATATATTTGATAAACATCTCATTTTAAATATAAAAAATCTAAAATATAATTAGGATAACTATTGAGTTATAACAGAATATTTAGTTATTATCTTTATAAAAAATTATATTATTAAACCAAAATTAAATTTCTTTGTTACTAAACCTAAATTAAATTATAATTAAAAAAATTGAATTAAGAAAATTACACCGAAACACAAGAACTTTTAAAAGGATAATTTGATACTGTGTCGATATATTTTTTTAATCAAAATTTTATGATAGTTTCAAATTTATATTTTATTCAAAAATAAAAACATTATCGATTTCTCAAAACCATATAAACCGTATTATATCGACATAAAAAAATAAAATAAAACACTGAAATCAAGATATGTCTCAATACATTACACGAATACTCTTCTATTAATCATATATAATCTTTAAGTTTTTTATTTTTCGTAAATTTATCATATTCTCGTTTGAACATTACCATATATTTATAGAGAGTCATTCCTTAATAAAATCGGTACATGACCAAAACAAGGACCTAAACTTTGTTGTATTTGCACAATACCCCCCTCAAGTACTTGTAAATCCACATGAAACTTAGTGATCGGTACGACCATTGAACCGGTCTCCCCTCAAGTGTACTGCAGATTCCTTAAACGAATGGTCCTTCTTCGATCATTGTCTTTTCGCCATTGATATACCCCCTTCTCTAGGGTTTCCCACCATCCGAACTTCCATCTCTGCTTTCAGGTTTTACAGCCCAGTCGAGCGATTCTCAAAATTTAGGGTTTCTTAAAGGTACATTTCTTCTTTGAATTTATGTTTAAAATCTTCAGAGTTTTAATTGATTGGAGTTCGATTTGTGGAAATCGCATAACACTGATGTTTTTTTTATCAATCGTCTGCAAATTTTAGTTTTCTTCCCTCCAAACTTGCCATCTCTGTTTTTAGTTTTTACAGCTCAGTCGAGCAATTCTCCATATTTAAGGGTTTTATTACAGGTATATTTGCTCTTTCAATTGGTTAGTTTTTACTTACAATCTTCGAGTTCTTTATTGACTAAAGTTCAATTTGTGCAAAAACGAGTAATAATTGATTGCTTCGAGATCTTTCTGTAATTTGTTTCGCAAATTTGTAATGTTTTTTCCCTCCAGAGTTACTGTCTCTCCTTTCGGGTTTTCCAGCTCTGTTGAGCAATTATCCAGGTTTTAGAGTTCTTTTAAGGGAAATTTCTTCTTATAATCGTCTACTTCCGGTGTAGAATCTTCAAGTGATTGATCGATCACAGTCTGATTTGGGGTAAACACGCATAACAACTGTCTTCTCCGACATCTTTAATAAGTTGATGGTTGCTTGATGATATGCTAAGTTGCTAACTGTTTACAGCTCAACTATTAGTTAGGGTTTACATGAACTATTTCAAAGATCCCATTGATGTATTTTTTATAATTCATAGGTTGTTTATTTATGATACAGGAAGAAGTGAAGTTGGTTGAGGGAAATGGGTTGAAAATTTAATCAGAGTTGTAACCAAATTATTGAATTAGGTAGCAGCACAGCACAGCACAAATCCTAATAGCTTGTCCAGGCTGTAATGGAGGACGGAGAACTTGATTTCTCAAGCCACGAGTTGTTTACCGGTGCGAATATGGGTGATATCCCCAGCAGTGGTTCAATTGATAGCTTCTTTGATGATATTTTCAAGGATACACATGCGTGTACCCATACCCATACTTGCAACCCGCCAGGCCCTGATTCCTCACACACCCACACATGTTACCATGTGCACACCAAAATTGTACCTGCCATGAGTGGCGATGATGACAAGACACCCACCGATGACACTGCTGAGTCTAACGAGAAGAAAGGTAAGAAACGCCCGTTAGGGAATCGTGAAGCTGTAAGAAAGTATCGTGAGAAAAAGAAGGCACGGGCTGCGTCTTTAGAGGATGAAGTGGTTAGATTGAGAGCATTGAATCAACAGCTGATGAAGAGAATCCAGAGTCAAGCTGGGCTAGAGGCTGAGGTAGCAAGATTGAAGTGTTTGCTTGTTGATATTAGAGGGAGAATTGAAGGCGAAATTGGATCTTTTCCTTATCAGAAGCAGCTTCCAGCTAATCATAACATAGCTAACCCTAATATGACCGGCGGGTACGTGATGAATCCTTGTAATATGCAATGTGGGGATCAAGCGTATTGCCTTCATCCTGTGGTAGATGGAAAGACCGGAGAAGATGCATCAATACATGATCCAGCTCTTAATGGCTGTGAGTTTGAGAATCTGCATTGCTTGGGGAATCAAAATCCTTTGCTCAATGAACTTCCAGGTTGTGGAACCGAGGATGGTTTCCCCGTAGCCAATCCTTCAGGTGGACGAACTAAAAGAAAAGGTGAAGAACAATAATCACTTATCATCTTACATCAGTTATATGTGATCGAAGTTGATTTTACCACAATGACATGATACTTCATTTAGTTTCTTATGCATGCCAAACTTACTTTATCAGCATAAAACTGTTCACGTAGTTCTTATTGTAGTAGAATCTGAAAGGCTTGTATGAGTAAAAGATGCATAATTTAATTTGATCAGAAGTTTCCTATTTTACCTGTGAAGATGGTACACTTTCAAGCTTGGTAATTCCACTATACCGGTACAGCAAAGCAGGATCATCAATCAGCTAAGACCTTCTGGCTGTTGTTGTGTTTAAGACTGAATGGTAGTCTAAAGAGAAGTTGGTTTCTTATTGCAACTAGGGTTATTCATGCTGTAAATTCGTGAAGTTTTTTTTTTCCAGAAGTTTCATTCATTATTAGCTTGTCATTGATTATTATTTGCTTCTATAACACATTTAAGTTATAACTACATAAAATGAAACTTGCCTTTTTTACCTGATCAGCCAAAACACAGGAAGAAGGTTTGATTTTGCTGTCTGCATATCTACATGTTTCACTATCACGTGCTTGTAAATGAATAATTCAGTTGGAATTAGGCTAGAAAATGTCATTAAGCTAAGACCAAGAGATACCATTGTGCCATCAACATGAGTTTGTTGTGTCAAGCTTATACTACCATGTAGTTGCTAGGAAGAACAAATCGAGAAGCATATGCATGTATATTGGCGATGTTTTATGTGTTGTTTGATAAAACTGAAAGAATAGGTACTACGTCTGACTGGTTTAGAGGCTTTGTATGGAATTAGTGTTGGATGACTCTTCCATATGATTGAAACAGGGTTTTCCCGACTTGCTCATAATTAAAATATTGACAAGGAGTTGAGGCATTGCATGATTAACTTACAATAATTCTCATCTCTTCTTGGCTTGTTCTTCCTTTTCTAAGATTCTCTCTTTGCTTTATAAATACTCCTTTTATCCCATGAAAATTTCAACTATTTTTATTTTCGGATGTCTTATTGCATCTTTTTCTTGCAAATTTGCAAGCTACTACAATCTATCGATTTGGTTCACAAGATTTTTTGTTTGTCACTGTTAGAGGGAATTTAAGACATTCGTTGTCCAACACTTTTTGTACAACTATGTGCTTAGTCAAAAGTTGCAATCTTCATGAGCCCTGCATGGAGCAACCCGTAAGGCCAGAACTTTGTAATTGCAAAATGCAAAGGCATAGGATACCTACAAAGACTTCACTCTTCATCCCTTGCAAAGCCAAGGAGCCTTGGTATCTTGGTTGTGCTTCTACTGCTCTATTATGATGCCTTTGTATAACCTTGCAGATTGGCTTTCCATCATTTGGTATAGTGTCTTATCCTTTGCATGCAAAGTTTTGCTAATCAGCTGAACTATTTAATTATCTCTTCTTTGTAGCAACTAGCTAACAAATTACTATTTAACACCACAAGCCAAAGGTTAGCCTAATAACCTTCAAAGCAACTAAGAGTACGGTGGGAAATTATTTGCAGCCTGCTACTTAGAAACTAATAATGCACTCGTAATTCATACTCACAAACCAATATGAGTCGGGATATTACAGACTGCCCAACTTAAATTCATAATGTTCTCATCGGGCCTATACTGAATCCCATAAGCTCTTATAAAAAATAAAAAAATAAGAAAACATCTTTTTGGTATTACTGGCGGATAGGGGTGGCCGTCTGTAATCCCAAAAATGATTTTTTCAAGAAATTTAACAAAAGTAAAAAAAAAAACATTTTTTTGGTATTAGTCATCCTTGGAGATGCATGCCAACTCGATTCCAGGTATGATACTATTTGTAATGTCCCTAGCCCAATGCAGTAACTGCACAATAACTTCCCACATAGTTATGGGGATTTACAACTATAGTTATCTTCTTTATGGTCTATATGAGACTTGGTAAACGAAAAGTTATACTCCTTTTATCCCCACAATCGATGCGAGTATGTGAGATGTACTTTTGTGAAATTGTCAAGACTATTAATCTAATTTCTTAAATGCTATCTAATAATGACAAAATATTTATGGTAGCAACTAGCTAGTGAAATTATAGGCGTTATATGCCCTATGTTTTATGAGGTGTAACATAGTAACTTCCTACATAGTTGTGGGGAGCTACAACTATAGCTATCTTCTCTATGGTTTATTAGACTTGGTAAAATAAACGTTACACTCCTTTTATGTCATTAAAATTGCAACATTTGACATGACACATAGTCTTGTGACATTGTGAAGATATTGGGGGTTGTTGAAAATCTCAATTAGAATTTTAATCAAGAGGCTCTGACTGAGTCAGAAGTATATGTATCTGATAAGCTATTAATGAGTCTCTGATCAAGTAATCGAGTAGTCGTTGTCCCTCTTTCGCCATTTATAATGGACCAAGTGATCATCTTCCCCCCTAGTTTCAGTTTCAGCATTGACCCATAGAAATTATAAACACCCTCTTAGTTGGATTACATAATATTCTCTAATAATGACAAAATAGTTATAGTATCAACTAGTTAGTTAAATTATAGGAGTTGCCTACTCTATGTTTTATAAGGCTAGTTTTGCATAAAACACTCTCTAATAATGACAAAATAAGATAATCTGGTGGGGCTAATATCAGTAGCATTATATAGTAACAATGACAATGGGTAAGTAGATAATTCTAACAGTGAAGTTGGTCAAAATTAAAGAACTTGTTGCAAATTTGGGGAAACTGGGAGTATAAGAGATCACTTTTCACTGGATTGGTTGGACCATAATCTTTATTGTTCTTTATAATATGATGATCATGAATCCCATATCATTTTTTCACCAAGCAACTGCTTGATGATTTGCATATCGGCATAGAAATGTGCATGGATTTGGTACGAAGATTGTTTCAGATGACGTGTATACTTGTATCCATCCGTCTCAAATTTAAGCGTCCACATTTTTTATTTAAGTTTGTCCCAAAATAAGTGACAACTTTTATAAATAGATAGTGTAATTGTCATTAAGTTAATTAAAAACTGTAATAATCACTAATTTCTGTAAATGTGTTGTTTGTTTGTTTTTCATTAAGATGTTTGTATGGATTAAGTTAAATTGTTGTTTGTTTGTTACCGTCTGCTTTAATTGGGTATTGATTTCCTTCTACTCCAGGTGCTCGTTCAACAATATCTAAATGAAACGCAAACCTGATTGAAGAACGGATCTTTCTTGGTGTATGATATTGTTGTCAGGCGATCTGTTATCGTTCCCTGCTCCAGGTTTCGAACTTCCCTTGTTCTGTCAGTCGCGTATTGTGAGTTGCCATCCATTTTGTTCTGTCTAGCTTGACATAATCGAAGAAATGCTTCTTGATCGTGTGTGGTTTTAATAATGTTCCAATGAAATCATAATGTTTAGTTGATGAGGAACTTGTTTTTGATGATTAAATATCTTTTCATCATTGGGTTCTTAAATTAAACCATTTTCAGGTGGAATATCTTTGTTCCTTTTCTTGGGTGTGTTAGAATGGCCCATATGAGATCTGAAATGGATTATGGTTTTGGGGTGGTTCATTCCGACCCTACTTTCGAGTAGGATATATGGCTTCGTTTGGTTTAGTATTTCAGGGTAGTTCATGTGAACCAGGACACACATGTTCAAGCCATAGAAACAGGTCATGAGTTTGAGTTGTGAACATAGCTCAAGTTTGTGCAAAAGGGTTTGTAACCGGCAACCCTCGAGCCAACCTTCACCACCCTCTTTGAGAGCGGGCAAGTCAGATACACAGTAGGCTGCTAGGTGTGACAAACGTTCTAAATGGCGGGAACCGTGCAGGCGAGGCCAAACTTCAAGCCTTAGGAGCCATGACGTTTTTGAAGGTATGATTTATGATGACTATTACTTAATAAGCCAATGATATTAAATAATTTAAATTATGTTATACATTAAAAAACTAACAAATAAACCATTAAAAAGGTAAGAAAATTTAAATATTGCATTACAAAAACCACGCACTAGGCCATAGAGTGTCACAGGCTTAACGTGGCACGACAAACAAGCTTTGAGCCACGGCATGCCAAGACAGTTGTTGCGGTGAGCCTTTTAAAACAGTAGGTGATACAAAGCTTTAGAGTATTTCTAATAGATTCTCTATAATTTATTTAAAATAGATAACTGAAGTAAAATCTCTAAAAGATCAAGCTCAACTCCAACAGAGTTCTACTTTTAGAGATTTTAATATTAATTATATTATTAAAATGATATAAAATGAACTGTAACTTTTACATTGCAACTGTCAACTCAAAATTTTGTCTGTTTGTGCAAGTTTACCACCCTATAACAGTATATTACACCTCATGCTCATTTATTGAAGAATTTATGGGTTATGATGCTTATAAATTATCTTGAGCTATCAGAGAAATGGAAGAACCAATGAATGTTGCTTTGTTAACCATACATGTCTCTGGCAGTTTATGCTCACCTCGATTAATCTCAAGGATTCTAAAAATCAACCACAAAAATCCTTAATGGTCTTACAAAACTCCTACTTATGACCTTTAAAAAGAATCCCTAAAGAACTAAGAGGCAACCTATTTACCTCTCTCTGAATTATTAAGAGGTGAATCTTATTTGGCAAGTTTGTCTCTTAATGGTTCTAAAACTTTCTGAATGATTTTGTATCTTGTATCTTCCTTAACCATTCAGCGCTCTAATTTCATTGTAAACAATTACCGAACAATTATATTTCATTTTGCGCTATATCATAAGAGCATCTTAATCATTCTGCATCAAACCATTCAACAACTGTCAAACAACTCCCAAGTCTTATTGTCAGTTGAGCTAATGCAATTTTTTTTTTACCTTTTCACAATAGAAATTGGTTTTGAATTTCTTTTACGTTTTCATAATACAAATTGGTTTTGAATTCTAAAGACGAGACCCAAAAACATGCTTAGGTTGTTAAGATGGAACCGGATCTTGAAATTTTATGTCATCCCATTTAATTAAAATCAAGGAAAAGTGATGTAAAGATATGATTACACATATTTGATTCATAAATATTATTGTTTAAGCATAAACTTCAAAAAACAATACGAAATTATAATATTTGTATCTGTTTTGCCTATAATTTTAAAATTATTAATCAGCACACTCGTTAAGTCTTAGGAGAATGTAGTAGAAAAATCTTATCTATAATCTAGACATTGTCAAACCCCTTGTGGGCTGGAGGCTAGAGGTTCACTGTGATGACCATAGACTATCCGTGGTTGCACCACAGTTAGTTGGTCCACGTAAGTTAGTCACGAAAATCCAAAAAAATTGTGTGTAAACTGCTATCCAATTTTTTTTAACATTGTTATACTGAGGATTGTTTTATATTTAAGGTACTTCTTTTGAGTTAACTGGGTGTCTTGTCTAAGACATCTGTGTAAGATGATTGTTTAGTGTGCTTAAATAGAAATTATCGTTTTATCTAGTATTTATGTTATTATATGTTTATTAAAATATATTTTAAATATTTGGTTAAGTATAAATAAGGAAAATGACAAAACTAACCACTTTATACAATTTTTTTCCACAAAATAACCATTTTTTAGGGGATTTACAAAACTAACCACACGGATCTCCTCCGGGGGCGATCCGTACATTTCGGGGTGATCCGCCCTTTTTCTTAGGAATTTTTTTTTTTGTCTACTACGTGGCTCGCCCAGGCTTTAAGTATTTTTTTAATTTTTTTTTCTTTTTTTGTTGTAATACCAATTTCACTATAAATACCAACCTCTTATTTCATAATTTTTCACATCTTTCCTTTTATTTTTCTTCTCATATATTCTACTTTCACAACCCTTAACCCATTAAACACAATAAACCATCACAAAACATGAAATCACGTCAAAGAGATGATGTTTGTATGTATCTTCGAAGTGGCGGTAACATTTATCTATACTATCTTATTAAGTAAATTTAGCAAAAGTCTTAAAGTCTTAAAATACTAAATGATCAAAATACCCTTTATACTCACTTTTTCACCCCCCCCCTTCTCCTCACATACACTCACCATTTCACAACCGATTTTTTTAAAACTATAATTTTAAATTTACACTTTATACCCTTATAATTAATTAATTAATTTACTTTCCGATCCTTTACTTTTAAATGTTTCATTTTAAACCTTTATCAAATTAACATACATAATCGTATATCAATTAAAACATGTTTAAAAAATACATTTTTATTTTAATAAGTTACAGCATTATAATCGTCTCGTTAATACCTTCGAAATAAGTCCAATATTGAATAGTTTTTGACTTAATTATATTATTATATATTATATATACTGTGAAAAATTATTTTTAATATTTACGATTTATATTTTTATAGTTATTTATTTATATATATACTATATATTTTGGGGTTAGGCTGTCCAAATTGCACTGTATAATATGTTTTGAATTAATATGTTATTGGGTTTTTTTTGAAATATATATATATATATATATATATATATATACATGTATTAATTCAAAATTCATCTGAGTTTCTGGACAAGAAAGAGAGTAAGCAGTTGAAATTTCATTCTAAAACTCATCTTTTTTTGTCTTTTCATGGCTTATAATCTGTCAAATTTGTAGTTTTTTTATTGGTTTTGAATGTTTATCTTAAAACTCAAGTTTCTTGTTTCTTTGCTCTTGGTGTAAGTCGAATACATTTGTGGAGTCGTTTAAATATGTTGGATTTTAAATATATTAGATTTTAAWCTGTCATACAATTTTTTTCATCTATAGTCTGTAATTGGAACCATAACTCTTATTTATTCAAATTGTATTAATAAGTAAAGACCAAGTGTAACATATATCATCGTTAAATCTTATTTTATAAAACCAGTGGAACTTCAAAATCGTTAAAATTTATGGCTCCCGCCGCATTGCGCGGGTACACAACTAGTATATATAGAGATGCATTACGTAAAAAAAGCGATATAAACGGTACAAAAATTGAAACTTCGTATTTTAACATATATATGCGTACGGGTTTTAACACGTACGCATATTTATGTATATTCACGTACGTTTTACGTACGTATTTTTAACGTATATATGCGTATGGGCTTTAACCGCTACTTCGAAGATACACACAAACATCATCATTTTGACGTGATTTCAAGTTTTGTGATGGTTGATTGTGTTTAATGGGTTAAAGGTTGTGAGAGTAGAATATATATGAAAAGAAAAATGAAATGGAATGTATGAAAAATTATGAAATAGGAGGTTGGTGTTTATAGTGAAATTGGTAATACAAAGAAAATAAAAAAAATAAAAAAAAATACTTAAAGCCTGGATCCCCCACGGAAGCGATCCGATGACGTGGCTTAGTTTTTTAAACCCCTAAAAACTGGTTATTTGGGGTAAAAATATTATATAAAATGGTTAGTTTTATCATTTTCTCATATAAATATGGTAGTATTTACATAATTATAGAAAATGAGAAAGATGTGAAGGTTTGTTTACTTTCACTCTTTTGGTTATTGAATAGAAAAACGGATAACATAAATACACGTGTATTTTTCTCCATCTCAAAAAAAGAAAATTAAAACATTTGTTGAATCTCAAGTCAATGCAATCACCATCATAATACTTCTTTCGTGATAAAATAACTGTTTATATTTTTATTTAGGAATTATTTGACAGTTGTCGAATAGTTTGATGTAAAATAATTAAATAGTCAAAATTATTAAGATGTTTTTATGATATAGTACAAAATTAAATATAATTGTTTACAATGAAATTGGGGAGCTGAATAATTAAGGGAGACCTATGATACAAAATCATTCAGAGAATTTTACAATCATTAAGAGTCAAACTTTTTTTTATCAAACAAGATTCACCTCTTAATGTTGTCTCTCAATGAAACTATTATGAGATAAACAAACAATTCCTCAGTTTAAGAAAATGTCAAAAAAACCTAATTTACAATTTTGTTTTAAATACTTAAATCATTGAATTTTTTATTTATTTTTATTAAATAAACCATTAAATTTTCTCACTTTACATGATAAAAACTTTTATGTTTTGGATGATTAAATCACTGAACTTTGTTTTTTATTTATTTATAAATAAACGATTAAACTTTTTAGAATTTGGTAATTAACATTCTAAAAAAAGAAGGGTTGTTTTGTTATATGATTTTTATGTTGCTTGTAATTATTTAAGTGGCATAAAAATTTGTTACTTATTTGTATTCGTGACGAATAGAGGATTTTTGTTAAATGAATGTATCTTTAAGGTAGATCAACGGTCTGTAAAATCGTCATATATGTTTTTAGCCAAATTTCACTATCTTAAAGAATTTCTTAAGTTTTTTCATTGGTCTCAAGGGATTTTTAAGATTTTTGGTTGATCTCAATGGATGTTTTGGGTTTTTTCGGTTGTCCCAGGAGATTTTTTCCGTTTCTTGGTTGATTTCAAGATACCTTTTTTTGGTTGATATACCTTATATTTTCTAATATTCTAGAGGACCTCTCAAAGTTCAATTAGCAGGTGTATCTCTCATACCTAAAAATCATATTTGCAAAAATAAGTTGTGCGAGTGCACGAAAACTTGCTCGAACATATATAGATCAGCCTTTACTTGTATTCGGGCTTTCATATCTGAGGCTCTTATGGGATTTTATAAGTTAGAGTTCAACCTAATTTGTATAGATTCAGTATGTATAAGTTGAGATTAGATTGGAACTAAACTATTAAAGTCCCACATTAATTAGACTTGAACGATTTCATCTCTGTGTATGTTGGAAACCCCCTTCTTTATTTCAGGGTTGTTTTACTTGAACCTAATTTGTTCTAGCCCCTCACCTGTCTTGCCCCTCTTGATGCTCTAGAATACTCGATATCCATCTAGCCTTCGTTAGAGGGGCATGCTAAGATATGACGTCGGTTAAATTTGGATAACTTCAGCTCTATATATGTTGGAACTCGTTCTCTCTTCATTAGCTCTTTTAGAGAGTAATATAATATGATTCCATATATTCTTGCATAAACAGATAAACCTTCTTTGGAAAACTGTATGGACAAAGACTAACTAAATATTACTCCATCATTATTCGCATAGTGGAAGGTTAATGGAAGATTCATATGTAAAGTATTGAAAAAATTCATCTGAAGATGCATATATGAACACTTTGTATCATCAATTCACATATGCATCTTTTCAAATAATTTCTTTTTTCAGATTTTTTTTTTCAATGGACGCACATATAAACCTTCCATTAACCTTTTTATTTTCTCATGATATTTAACATTTTTATTTGAAACGAACCATATTCGTAAAACTACTGCATCAATCAATTTCCAGTAACCAAATAAAACACAATCAATTGATATGGTATGTTTTATCTAGTACTTGACACACATTCATGATAAGTGATGATGACATTTGTGACCATGGTGTGCTTTATCTAATACTCGTTAGGCGAAATGGCATTGTCAATGTTCAATCGGGTTTTCATATAAATGTCAATACTCAATTGATATCCACAAACATCATGATTATGACAATACACAAAGTAAAAAACATTACTTCACATATAGACAATGCACTCATAAACACACAGTAACATATCTAAGATTTTTTCAGATTAATAAAGAGGCTCATAAAGTTGTTCAGTATGTTTTTAATCGAATTTCATTGATTCGAAGATTTTTTTTGCAGTTTTTTGGTTGATTTTGAGAGACTTTATGTTATTTGGTTGTCGTCCTTTGTATTTACTAAATTTATTGTGTACACCTTTCATGCCAAAAAAAAATCTACTTCTAAAAATCGATTGAACAAATGCACGAGACTCGTCAGGGGGTCTTTATAGGTTTACAACTTATAACAGTATACATATAAACTTCTTGGAAACTCATGTTTGAATTTCATAAACTAACTAATAATAAATAAGAGATAAATATTGGGACGTATTAATATAATAGAATATTCCATAAAACTGATAATCATATAAAACTATTAAAAAATGACATATTACTTACATAAAGTTGCATAGATGCCTTTTTTACAAAATTTCAAAAATAAAGAAGAAAATAAAAAGACAGAAAGAAAGAACCTATTGACCAATTTTTTTTTTCTTTTCTTTTTTCTTTAAGACAAATAAAGACCCAATAAAAATAAGAGTGAGTTACGTTTTTTGTCCTTGTAGTTTGTTAAAGTTGTGGATTTAGTCTTTGTGGTTTTAAAATTTCAGTTTTCATCCCTATAGTTTGTAATTCATTTATATTTTTGTCCTTAGATCAAAACATTACTTTTAAGTATGAAGGTTAAAAAAATAAGTTATAAACTATAGGGATGAAAATTGTAATTTCAAAACCATAAGGACTAAAATAAAAAAATTCAACAAACCACAGGACTAAAAACGTAATTTACTCTAAAAATAATGAAACTTTGCTTTCTTTTATCGATAGGTTCTAAACATATGCACCCACAATACTTATATTTGTTATACATATTATATATTTCATACTTTTTCGTTTAATTTTTTAAAATTCAACTATTACTTCAACCAATCACATGATAGCGCACGCAGCTGGATTTTCGTCGCTAAAAGCGGTTGTATACCGAACCTCAGTCGAGCTTGCACGTGCCAGCTGGTTCTGGTGCGGGTCATCGACATACCTCACATAGCCAGCTGGTGCCTTTTTGTCGTACACACCTTGTGCATAGGGGTGGGCCACGATATCATATGGAACATAGGGCCAAAGCTCGACCTTCTTGCCGGTTCGATAAGCCACACGTGACAAGACTTTGTGAGGCTCCACATAACCGACAACTGTAAGCTTGTGTTGCTTCCGCTCAATGCTTACAGATGTCACACCTTTCATCCCTTCTACCGATCTCCTCACCTTCCTCTCGCATCCATCACAGTCGATCTTCACTTTAATCTCGACAGTCTAGTAAACAACACAAGTTATAGAAGAAACTTAAATTAGAAAGAAAATTGTTAAGGTTTTTGTTGATTTCTCTTTTAATATTTTTAATTCATTACAGGTTTTACTTCTAAGATAAGACACATATTTTGGAAATTGTTATGCAAAAACAAAACCTGAATCACTCAAGAAACAAAAAAGCAGATATAATACTGAAAACAAAAAAATAAATTGAGAAGGTTTGTTGGCAGGGTGCTAGCTATGTCCTCGAGCAAAACATAAGCAGATGTTTTACTTCTACAAAGATGATAATAAATATTACATGTAGTTTTAGATGAGCTAGGTACAAATTTTTCCTCGATCTGTTTAGGACTTCTATAATTAGAATATTTTTGATACCCTAATACTGATTCAATTTGAAAACCTTAAAGTTTCCAATAGAGATAAGCCTTTATGCTCAAGACGTGGATCCAAGAAATTAATGGGGTGCAGCACCATGTAAGACGGGGGTGAAAATAAAAAATTTAAGTTAATCAACAAACGTTTTTAGTCTTTAATTGAGGCCTTTCCCCCAGTTCTTAAGGGTTGGATCCGCCCTTGCTTATACCCGTGGTTCAAGACATTATCTCAACGATAAATATTTCTGTTCGACTCAGTTTATATCTAAAATAAATCAAATAAAATATTAAATTTATAAGACTGAAAATAGGAAAAGGGACATAATTATAAATATAGGATATGGGTCATGGGTGGATAGAGTGTGGACTAAATTTTTAAATTTGTGACAGGTTGATATGGGAAGAACTTAATAGGTGCATGGAATAGTTCGCGGCGGATAAGGGGGGACTGGCAACTAACTTTTGACTTTTAGTCAGGGCATGTAGCACCATGCCAAAACAACAGCTGATAAAGGAGGTGGGTCAACACGGAATACTTTGGGTCAACTCAAACATGCATCGATCAGCCAACTTTAATTTTACTTTTTTCTGTTTTAAAATAATCACATTATCTCAATTTTAATTGAATTAAAAGATAATCATTATATTTTAAGTTATCATCACATATGAATAAATAATCTCTATATAAATTATTGGTTAAAAATACGAATTTATATATAAATATTCATATGTAAATAATTGGTAAAAAAAAGTAATCATCAAACTTTATTTACATATGCATCTTAAAATAGAATTTTTTTACTTTACCTTTATAAAATTAAATCTGAAACCTTTTATTTCAAACAAATTTGAAAGTTGGTTTCTTGTATCTATTTTGAGTTTTTTGGCTTGTCTTATTAAACTTTAACCTATGTATGTTATATTTTGTATTTATCTTTATTTAAAAAACAATAGAATAATGTTTCAATTCAAATAATTGATGATCATGCATTCATACCGGCATATATAACAACTAAAATATCAAAACAAAACAAACCTAGTTCTATTATGAGTACTATGAAAGCTAACTTGATAGAATAATTACAAAAGTTAATCATTAAAGGCCTTCAATAATACAAATTATACATGAAATTATGAATGATTTAAGTTCTAATAATCATCAATCTTACCATAAAAAGGTTATATTTATTAAAAAATTATTTCATTTATTTAAAACTCAAAAATAGTACATAAAACTTCTTTTTATATACGAAAGTATCTCCAAGATTTATGTCAAAAATATATATTTTCGAGATTTTTAAAACTTTTTGCTACAACATTTATGTTAAAATAAAAAAAATATAAAAATCTTTAAATTTGGGAGATCTCTAAATTTTAATATCAAGGAAAGAGTTATTTAATTGTTCCATAGACTGACTGTATTATAACTTTTTTATAACAAACGTAATGAATGTTAATTTTATAAAATAGTTTAATAATATAATTAATATTAAATTAAAATTAAATTAAAATTTCAATAGTTATTGGAGTTAATATAATTTTTTAAACATTTCAAGTTAAAACAATTCATTTTATAAAAAATATAATATAGTAAAAAACCGTCTAGTTGTACATTATTCTTTTAGTTTAGGTATAAAGCTTTATGCTGTGCTGTCTAAACTCTAAAGGCAGTGGGGAAAAAGCCAAACAAGGCTGTAAACATCGTTCCTTTCGCTTTCCTTGGCTAGTCTCTCTCTATCATCCTCCTAAAGGCAGACAAGTATCATTACAACCAAAGCATTAACCAAAAGTATATCTTCGTACAACTAGTAATGCACAATCTACAAACCGGAAACAGGATATACTAATACTTCAAATTCAAAACCAACAGTTCCGGCGGATCTGAGTACTAATCGAATCAAGACGATACACTACAGATTTCAATTTCTAAATAGGTGATCATGTGTATGTGTTCATGTTCATAACTGTTCTTCCGATTTCAGCTAGAACTTTAAATCAATTGCAGAAATAACTGGAATTCGAACAATCTCTAAATATGTGTTCGTGTGTATCTGTTCAGTTTTCCAACTCTTCTTTTCGATTTTCAGCTAGAAATTTAAACTAACAACAGAAATGAATAATAAAGTCGAGATCAACGAATACGATCCCTAAAATAAATCTGTGTTCGTGTGTATGTGTTCCATTTTCGTAATCGATTTTTAGATTTTCAGATGGAAATCTAATTTAACAACAGAAATATATCGACATCAAAACTCCGATCTCCTAAACAACTGCATATCACAAACGATTAAACGAATAAACATAATTTCCGATCATCAAACTTCACGGAATCACTAGATGCAAATTCAAAAACGAAAGAACAAAAACCGAATGCAATTGAAGAGGTATTATACCTGCAATTGCTTGCGTTTTTTGTACTTTCTGTTGCTTCCTCCTGAGCAATCGAACATGTTTGAAAGATGATCCAGAGCTCCCATGGCAGCCTTCTCTCCTCTAGATTCAGATATTTCTACTCACAACGGTAATATCTGAGTTGTCTATTGGTATTCGCTTTTCTACTCTTTACTTCGTCAATACGATTTTGAAAACGGACCCTTGCTTACTTGCACTATTTATAATAGAAATGTAGTTTCACATTGCCTCCTTGTAAGTTGCTTATTGCTATTTCAGGACCTTTAAATTTAAAATATTCATATACAGTCCTTGTTACTTTTAGTCCGTGAAATTTTAGCAAACATAGTTGAATAAGAAATATAACTGATTGTGAGGTTTATAGACATATCATACGATTTCGGTTGTGTTTGACCTCAAATAAAAAGTAGTATATCAGGTTTCCATTCTGTTATATTATTTTTTTAGTCTGATTATATTGTATCAGTTATGTACCATCACATACTGTTTGCATATAAATAGTTATGATCTGGAAGAACAGTCTGACGCCAATCAAAATTTGACTGCTTTTCTAAAGAAGGGCCAGATATATGTTTAAAAACCGTTTTTGACAATAAAGATAAAAAATAATTATTGAAATTTTTATGTTTGTTGAAAGACAAATTATAATAGTAAACAGTAGCATGTATTCACTTAGAGGCAGTTTGGTTCAGGGAATTCAAAGAAATTTGATGGAATTGGAATGACAAATTTATTTGACCAAATTTATTAATGATGTTTGGTTTGCAGAATGAATTGATTGGATTCCACCGGATTCCATCGATTTCCATGGTTGAGGGATTTGATCATTCCTTAGCATATGTGAAGGATTTGAATTCCATTTCGTGGCAAATGTAACATATTTTATAATTTTGTTTTAGAATGACAAAAATAACCTTTGCATCCAATGTAACCACAATCCCTCCCTGTCCCGACGCGTTTGTTGGCAACATATCTGCCACCACCACCGCCACCGTTGCCATCACCACCATCAACTAATATACATCTGATTAACCAAATTAATTGTTCAAATTATTAATATGAAAGGAAGTAGACTGATAAGATCTGAGAGAATTCTAGAATAGAAGACTAATAAATCTTTTAATAAAATAATGAATTTAAATTTCATGAAAGTTTACTTATTATTTCGTCGATTTTTCCATCAAATGGTCCACCACGTTACAAGAGAATCTATAACTATATTAATACTGACGTTTAATGTCACAATCATGTATGTATATGTATGCGTGTAATAGTCATATAAAATTTAATTGAACACTAAGAGGTTGTTTGACAGTTGCTGAATGTTTTAGTACAAAATGATTAAGAGACTCTTATAATATAGTGCAAATATAAATATAATTATTTAGTAATTATTCATAATGAAATTAGGGTACCGAATAGTTAAAGGAGGTCCAAGATTCAAAATCATTCAGAGAATTTTAGAAATCATTAAGAGGCAGACTTGTTTTTGGTCAAACAAGATTCACCTTTTAGCGATTCAGAAACTGTTTCCTAATGGAACTATTAAGATGTAAACAAACAACCCACAAAGAAATACAAATAAATTAAACTTACATTAGAAACGATAGGAATAATTTACCAACAAAATGTAATGGTTATCATACGTAAAATAATGTTATAAAAAGTTAAATGTAAACATGGACTTTAAAACTTATGTTATAATGATAAATACAGGAAAAACGTCATGTCCTTTTGTTTTACCACATGCCTGTTCCAAATTCAAAACAAATTGTTCTCATACTCGTTGTCGCCGTTTTTTTCTGTAACGAAATATTTGTTTTATACAAACAAAACAAGACTTGGAACCGACAAAAAACCAAAATTTGGATGCATTTTTAGTCTAAACAAATTCCACCATCAATCTGGTTTTGTTCAACCAGTTTCTTAATCAGGTTTTTAAATGTTCAAATTTACATGAGGTCAAATTGTAATAGATAAAAACGTATTATTACTTACACTTAACATAAAAAACCCTACGGTCTCATCGTTTATAAGTAGGGGTGGAGCAAGAATTTAGAATCAGGAGGAGCACTAATCGAGCATAGAAAATAACGTTGTTAGTTGAGTTGGGTTGGAGCCTTGGAAGGGTAACTCTTAAGATAAATACCAACACGATTGCAAAATTACTTAGAATAATAACTAAAGGGTTGTTTGTTTACCTCTTAATATTTCTATTAAGAGGCAATCTCTGAATCGTTAAGAGGTGAATCTTGTTTGACAAAAAAAAAAGTCTGCCTCTTAATGGTTCTAAAACCTTTTGAATGTTTTTGTATCTTGGGCCTCCCTTAATCATTAAGAGCCTTAATTTCATTGTAAACAATTATCAAACAATTATATTTCATTTTACACTATATCATGAGAACCTCTTAATCATTCTGACCACTTAATGATTCTACATAAAGTCATTCATCAACTGCCAAACAATCCCTAAATCAAACATCGAAGTTTCACCCAAGTTCAAAGGTCGAAGTCAAGATGGTTTCGAATTTCACCCAAGTACAAAACAATTACACCGACAGAGATCCCACATATAGAGACTACAAAAGGTGGCAGTTAAACGAAGGTGAAAAATCAGATAGATGAAGAGGAATTGACCTTGTAGGAATCAAATAAGTAAAGTTGCTGGTCTTACATCAAAACAAAATTACGAGGGGACTGGGAGCACATGCACCCTCTGATCATCATGTAGCTTTATCAGTGTTTACAAGGCTTGAAACTTGACCTAACCAGCACCTGACGTTTCACGTCAATTATAACCTTGATTACTGTTATGTATTAGTTGAAGGGTGATCTGTGTAAATAAACTTAAATTAGAAGGGGGTGAATTGAAAAAATAGCGGTGGAGGCGTCGGCAATTGTTGGTGTGCCCACGTGTCAAGTGGTAATTAGAAGAGTTATTAATAGCGTAGTATGCATGGGAAAGTCTGCAAACGGCACCGACCATTGAGACTCGATCTCATGGCTTTACTACACTCTACAAGTTGGCTTCCTATGAACCTGCTTTCCCCTTTCTTTTTCAATTTTCATTTTTTTTTAAATTATATTTTAAATAATTATTTAAAATAATAATTTAAATAATCTACATCGCATAACGATACAAACTATACGGTTAGGTTCGTCTCTGTTTCCTTTGCAGAAAAAATTATTGTAGGAGACATGATATAATTTTGTAATGAAATTATTTAGTGGATTTATTTCTTTCTACTTTATCCTTGATAAGCGATGCTTAGGAGCCGTTTACCAAACGCTTACAAGTGTAAGCGCTTACCAAGTCACATTACCATACCGGATGAATATAGCGAAGACCAAAAAACAAATCCGGTAAAAGCGAGACAAGGACCAAGAGTCTTACCCGGTAAGTGAGGACAACGACTCTTACCACGATAAAAGCTTATCATGTAAATTGTTGCATATGGTACCGTTTTCGGTGGACTAAAATCTTATCCAGTAAGTAAATAATAGTGTTGAATTTTATCGATAAACACTTACTGGGTAAGTTTTTGGTAAACGGCCCCTTAGTTTCCTTGTTCAAGTTCAAGAAGATAAATAACTAGTTGCCCGTTGTTAAACCATATCCAAGGGGCCTTCATATTTATTTTATTGAGGGTTTGGTTAGATAAATATAAAAATTAAAAGTAAAAAAAATGAGCTTTGTAGACTTGATTTTGTTGAGGGCCCAGGACCCCAACCCCTATCACATGCATCCGCCCCTCAGAAGGAATCGTAGTAGCAAGGGAATTAGAAGTGTTCTAATAAGAGGAATTATAATTTTTTTGAACGGGTGTATTTTATAAGTAGGGATGGTAAAAAAATCGAAATTGATGGTGAAAGTCGAAAACCGAAACTTTCGGGTCAGGTTTGAGGATATCTTATCAGGGATCAGAGACATATTCGGGAATTTTAACGGAGACGGTGTTCACTAATATGTGTGTATATGTATTAATTTTAATTTATATATATACATACACACACACACACATATATATATATATATATGTATAATCATTAAAAGAATATATACTAATGTTAAAATTTAAATATCTTAACACCGCAAATAAGGCTCACTATAAAATCTAGATTATTTGTCTAATCTTGAGCGTGATGTCAGTTGTATGATGTTTGAATTTCTGTTTACTTTTATATTGTAATCTAAGACATTATCTGTAATTGGTTTGGTTATGTTTGAGACATTTAGACTTACATCTTAAAAAAAATTGTAATTTACTTTTAGTTGTGAAAATTAACATATTATAAATTTTTTCATATAGTTTTGGGTTTCTGGTTTCGGGTATAACCAACGGTGAACAGGGAAACCAACGGGAAAAAAGATGATTTTTATGCTTCACGGGTTCCCCAACGGGGATCGAGGAAACTGAGGGGACCCAACAGGGATCCCCAATGAGATCGGGACGATTAAGGGGACGATTTTAGATATCGGTTTCAGGGACGGGGATACCAATAACCGTCTCGAACCCGGCACGTTGCCATTCTTATTGTTGAGGTGGTTTAAAGACTCGTAAAATCATCAGATAATACCTTAGAACCGAGGGGGCGAACATGATCTTTTATTTCAGTGTAATAACATGTATTTTAAAAGACACTGGTAATGTTTATAATACATTAAAACCTCCATACGTCATTCATCGAAGTCGAACTTTTCGATCTTTATGATTTTGAGTCTTTCACAGTTTCTTGCAAACCAATACATCTAAATCTTAACAAAAAACAAAATTAGAAAGAAAAAAAAAAACTAACACTGTAATATACATATTTGAACAAAACAACTAATAAGATTTAAGAATAATTACCAAAGAGCTTTTAGCCTAGCGATATGCAAGTCATTGGTCTTTTAGGAGGTCAAAGGTTCAAACTTCAACAAATATAAAGAGAGGGTGAGAATAAAAAATCTTATGTTTGTTAAAAGAGATGATGGAGAAAGTAAAATAGATGTAATTTTATGGGTTCAATAAAAAGAAATATAATATGGGCCATAAAATTTTGGAGGCCCATACTTTTGTTTTGTGTTAATAGATGACAACAAGAATTTGTAATGATGTGGGCTTGGCCCCAAAAGAGCCTACATGCAATTGCAAAGTGTCCAATGGGAGTAATTCAGATTTAAATGTATA